GTTGTATATGTGTATGAAATTTGAGTCTATTATCAAGGTGGATTCCTAAGAATTTTCCCTCTGTTAGCTTTGTGATAGGCGATCCATTTATCATTAAGTTAAGAGGGACATCTGTAGCTCTGTTACCAAACTGAATGAAGTAGGTTTTGTCAATGTTTAGTGTAAGTTTGTTAGTCCTCATCCAGGTAGATATTTTCTGTAATTCGGTATTTACAGTATTGGCTAGGGTGACTGGGCTTGGGTGAGAGAAGACGTATGTAGTGTCATCTGCAAATAGTGTGGGTTTGAGTAATTGCGAAGCATTTGGTAGGTCATTTATGTATAGGAGAAAGAGAAGAGGGCCAAGGACACTTCCCTGTGGGACACCAACTGTAATTGGTTGTGCGGAAGAGTTTGCCCCATTTGCGTACACATATTGGCTTCTGTTGCTGAGGTATGACTTGAGGTAGTTGAGGGAGTGCCCTCTTATACCATAGTGTGACAATTTTATGTGGAGCAAGTCATGGTCAACTGTATCAAAAGCTTTACGTAAGTCAATAAAGATCCCCAGTGGGACTTCTTTTTTCTCTATTGCGGTGCATATATGTTCTAGCATGTGTATAATAGCATCATTAGTATTTTTGTTAGGCCTGAATCAAAATTGGCAGGGGTTGAGTATGTTTTGGGAGATGAGGTAGGAGTAGATTCGTTTATGAATTAATTTTTCGAAGATTTTTGAGAGAGGGTGTAAGTTGGATATTGGCCTATAGTTATTCAACTCTGTTTGGTCTCCTCCTTTATGGATTGGGGTGACCCTTGCTATTTTGAGAACTGTAGGGAAGGTGGAGGATTCAGTGGATTTGTTAAAGTGTGTTGCAATGATTGGTGATAGCACTTGTGACACTTTTTTGTATATAAAGGGTGGTAAGGTATTTAAATTGATAATAAGGGAGACTTCGTATGGGTTAGTCGGAGCTAGGAACAGTGTGTTCGGGTAGTTACCAGTGAGGTAGTCATTTGGTGGGGTATCTGAGCTTGGGATTTTATTGGCAAGGTTTTGTCCTATAGTGGAGAAGAAATCATTGAGTCTGTTTGCTGTTTCAGTTGGTGGGAGTTGGGGTTCATCTGATTTTGCTAATTTTATTTCGCTATTTCGTGATATCTTTTTTGTTCCTAGAATTTCTGATAGGGTTTTCCAGGTCTTTTTTATATCACCTCGTAAGTTGGAAAATCTGTTCTCATAATACAATTTTTTTGCCCTTCTTATCAGGCTGGTTAGAATTGACGAGTAACGTTTTGTTTGGTCTCTGGTTATGTGACCCATTCTATACTGTTTTTCATATCGGTGTTTTGTATTTATGGATTTGAGAATGCTGGGTGTTAGCCAGGGACTGTTCAGTCTCTTGGCTGTCATCTGTTTAGTTTTTTTAGGGCAGTGCTTGTTATAGAGGTATTGGGTCTTTTTTAGAAAATTATTAATACATTCGTCAATATCTGTATAGATTTCTAGCTCAGTGTGCCAGTCAATGTTTGTTACTGCTGTTGTGAAGTTATTAATGGCTGCCTCATTGTGAAGTCTGAAGGTGACTTTAGTAGTGTCTTGGGGTAATTTACCAAGAGTTGTTATGAGGAAAGTAGGGTAGTGGTCTGTGGTATTATCTGTGATTATGCCTGATTTTAACCCTTTACCAGGCCTGGGAAAGGGTAATTACCCCTTTACCAGGAGTGGAAAAGGGTAATTACCCCTCTCCAGGCCTGGTAAAGGGTTTTAAAGGGGATATGGTGTTGGTCCAGATGTGGTCAAGTAGGGAAACACTAGTCTCTGTAACTCTTGTAGGTTTTGTTACTGTTGGTAGCAACATGCAGTTACTCATTGTGTTTGTGAATTCAGTAACGTGTGGGTCCTGGTCTTGCAGGAGATTTATATTGAAGTCACCTGAGAGTAGTAAGTGATCTTTGTTCATGCGTGCATCAGTTATCATACTTCCTAGGTTTTGACTAAATTGGCTAATGTTTGACTGTGGAACTCTGTAGATGTTTATCAATGTGAGAGGTTTTTGTAGGTATTTGGATTTGAATTTAGCTATTATATATTCCCCATGTTCATCCCTTGTGCAAGTATTAGTGATACATTCTAGTTGGTCTGAGTAGTATATAGCTGTACCACCCCCTTGTTGGTCTGGCCTACAGTTGTGTATGGCTGTGTAACCAGGAATGGCATAGACATCTGTAGTATCAGGCTTTAGCCAGGTTTCAGTTAGTGTAATGATGGACATATTGGCATGCAAGGAATTTAGTAATGCTATGAGGTCATCGTAATGCTTGCTTAAAGATCTGATATTGTAGTTAAAGACAGTTATGTTGTTGTTGGCTCTGAGGAGTGCCTTTGATTGTTCTGCTGTGTAGTAATTACAGTAACTGTTTGATTCATTTAAGTCATTAAATAAGAGGTTGGTATCAGGATCAATGCCTGTAATCATAAGATTTGTAGTGAATCTATAGTTAGAATTAAGTATAAAACAAAGTAAATAGTCTAAAGCTAAAAAATAGCACCTGAATTATTTAACAAATGTAAAAATAATGAGCTAAGGTAGGTTTTTTAAAGCTAAAATAAAGGAGACAATATAAAAGGGACTAAAATAATTTGTGGTGAACAAATAAAATGATGATCAAATAATGAAGCTTGGGAATATGATAGTAGGTAGTACTTTAAAGGTAATTCTTTAAAGTTAGAATTAGGGAAAACAATATAAAAGGGACTAATATAAGTTGTGGTGAACAATAAAGTGGTAATGAAATAAATGAGTTTTGGAATATATTGGCAAAATAGTGAACTTATTACACTTTAACACCTGAGAATAGCACCTTGATTATTTTAACAGTTGTGAATATATGAACTAAGGTAGTTATATAAAGCTAAAATAAAGGAGAAAATATATAAGGGACTAAAATTAAGTAATGGTAAACAAAGTTAAATGGACAGATAGTCACTATGAAATAATATTGGTTTAGGAGTAAGATCTGATTTGTAATATTAAATAAGTTGAGCAGTTTATTGCACAATAAAAAGTAAAAAAATATGAGGTAGTTGGTACTAGCTAGCAAAAGATAGTTTTGGGACTTGCAAAAAAGTAATTGGAATATACACTAATTGCACATACAATAAAAAGTGACTAAAAAACAAGTAGTGGTAAACAGAATTAAATGGACAGGTAAGAACAATGAATAATATTAATTTTGAGTAAGATTTGACTTTTAACACAAAATTATGAGCAATTAATAGCAGTAAGAAAGAAGTATAAAGTACTGGAGGTAGTTGGCATTAGCTAGTGATGAAAAATAAAAAATAATAATGCACAATATAATAGTAACGTACACTATATGCACCACACGTATATATGTATTAAGGGCACTTATCTAATCTGTTACAGAAATGTCCGCTTTTCTAAGGAAGGTAGAGAAATCATGTTCGTTTGAGATGGTATATTGTTGTCCTGTAGTTAGAAACAAAAGTGAAGAGGTGCTAGATGGAGAGGTGGAGATACTGGGAAGATGGTTGGAATATTTTTGAGTTTTTAAGTAATGTTCTGCAGTGGTATCTACATCTTTCAACAAACCGGCCATATCCCACCGAAGCAGAGTGGCCCAAAAAGAAAAAGAAAAGTTTCTCTTTTTAACTTTAGTAGTGTATACAGGAGAAGAGGTTACTAGCCCCTTGCTCCCGGCATTTTAGTCGCCTCTTACGACACACATGGCTTACGGAGGAAGAATTCTGTTCCACTTCCCCATGGAGATAAGAGAAAATAAACAAGAACTAGTAAGAAAATAGAAGAAAACCCAGAGAGATGTGTATATATGTGCTTGTACATGCATGTATAGTGTGACCTAAGTGTAAGTAAAAGTAGCAAGACATACCTGAAGTCTTGCATGTTTATGAGACAAAAAAGACACCAGCAGTCCTACCATTATGTAAAACAAGTACAGGCTTTCGTTTTCCACTCACTCGGCAGGACAGTAGTACCTCCCTAGGCAGTTGCTGTCTACCAACCTTCTACCTAGATGGTATGTACATTAAAAAAAAAAAATGATTTGGGTGTTACAGTGGACTGTTTGAGACTAACATTTTTGACTTTCAAGGACAAATAATACAGTACGAAATATTTTTTTTGTACCCTCTATTAAAAAAAATAAATAAAATAAATGTACAATTCTTAGCAAAAGTAGTAGTTTTTTTTAATAATGGAAGTTTTTCACCAAGGTAGTGACCCATAGATAGATTCACTATCTTTTTTCAGTAACTGTCTTACCAGAAGTGCATGAACATCACATTTTGAATTGCCATTTTTAGCCTTATAAAAATGTGTGGAAATATAAACACACATGCAGTATAATGTGATCCTTTATTGACAACGTTTTGCCCATGCAGTGGGCTTTATCAAGTCACAAACAGATCTACCTGGGTGGAAGGTACGTGAGTATTTATAGGATGAAGTCAGGATGAAAATGCTGGGTCAGGTGGAGAATGCTGCATGTGACAATCTACCGAGTAGGGTTATAGAATCTAATGTCTTGGGTAGCTTGAAAGAGATTGGATAAGTATATGAGCAGACCTTCTGCAGTGTTCCTCCATTCTTATGTTTTTATGTGGGATAGAGATGAAGAAGTTTCTTGGCAAGGGGTTCAGAGACCAATATGAGATAAGCTGCCTTACTGTGTGTAGATTTTATCTAGACTAGTAACCTTGGAGTGTTAATAGAGCAGGTGTCCTTTTTAGGGTCATCCCCCCCTGCTGGGGCTCTCCTAACTCCTAGATACCTATTTATTGCAAAGTAATAGGGGAAGCAATAAACTAGCCATTATGTCTATCCCCACCTGAGATTTAACTTGGGTCATGGAAGTTGGGTTGAATGTTCTACAACTGCACTACACAGTGCCTACACAGGAGTGTTTTCATTAATAGTTAAGCTATCCTGAAAAACAGTTTATGATTTTTTATTATATTTAACATTGTTAATTTTCAGGTATGTTGACTTTCTACATTATGGTTTGCTATGCACGAAGGCAGCGGCAAGGACAAGTAGAAATGACACCTTCTAATGACCAAGTAAGTAATAGTGTTGTAGTATACATGTATTTGTAGTTATGTGTGGTGTCCTGTCTTTAATTATCATAAATGCATTTTTTTGATAGTTTTTCTGTATTTTTTGGTGTCTCCAAATGGGTACCCTTAAGAAATTGCCTGGTTCTTTTCCTTATTTTATCTACATTTTTCAATTTTATTTTGCTCATTACTTGAGTGCTTCATTCAATCAGCTTCAAATTTTCAATGCTTGTGTATGGTAATGAGGATCAAATTCTTGGAACAATTGGCATGTTTACGTGCCTTCTGAACCCATTCCCATCATCCTGGAATGGCTGGGATAATTTCTAAAATTCTCAGAGACAGAGCTTCAAACATTCACAAAAGGTGCCACAAAAATATGATGGTAGCAGAGAGTGAAATTCAGACATGTAGGAGCAGATTTGACAGTTTCACGTAAAATATCGCATTAACTAAATTTCAGTTTACTTCATCTGAATGGCTTCAATCTTTAATAGCTAATGCATTTTATGGCCAGTGTAGTATGTATCAAGTTTTGCTTGCATGAAGGCAAATTTGCTCATGTAGTAAAATAGCAAAAAAAAAATTGGAATTATTGAAATACATATCATGACTGGAAAATGACTCTTCTGACCAGCTCAAAATTTTCACCAGTGGTGTGACTTCCTGATCAATAGGTTCATGCCTCCATTGATGGCATAAGTCCCAATGTGCCAGTTTTATTGAATAAATAGTGATGTTCATTTTTCTTCAATAATTAACCCGTAAACGGTCCAAACATATATATACGTTTTTTCAACATTTGAAAGTATGTAAAAAAAGTAGATCTTCTTTTTGTTTTTCTACATTTGAAAATGTGTAAAAAAACTTTGATCTACTTTTTTTTTGTTATATTTGAAAATATGTAAAAAAAACTTAGATCTACTTTTGTAGCACTACACATGTGAACGTAGATCTGCTTGGACCGTTTACGGGTTAACAAATGCTTCTGATTGGCTTTAAAATATTATTAATGATGCATTCTGTAATATGGATAACCCATAAGTTTAGTCCCAATAGGTGCAAATTTGACATTTTAATGAAATAGTTAAAAAAAAAAAAAAAAAAAATGGAATAGCTGCAATTAGATTAGTTACTGAAGACTGACTCTTTGAATCAGCTTCAGACTTTTGCCATTGTTGGGTTTTATTAAACACAGTTTGTCACTCACTCTGAGCTGAGTAAATTTCAATTTGTCAATTTTATTAAGCAAATTGTTTCTCGTGTAATAATTAGAGAATGCCGTTTCTCATAAGTTTCAACCCCCAAGTGGTGGTGTACCTTAATATGAAGTATTTTTGTATTACTTTTGAGCTGTGTGGGTTTCCCTTTTTTTTTTTTTTCTATTTCATAAAGTTTGGGTTTTCAAAAACAAAAATATTATTTCTTACAGAATTGTAGAGAATTTTAAAACTATTGCAACTACAAATAGAAAAGTGAAAAATAGTGAAAATCCTGTATTTATATCGTTGTTAAATTTCCTGAGCTGCATGAACCCTTAAATACTGCACAATATGACATTTCAACCTCAAACACTAGCAGAATTTATAAATTACACATGTGCAACATTTGAGTATCTTTAATGAGGAAATGTTTTGCCACACAGTGGCTTCATTAGTCCATACAAAGGAGAATGGTGAAGAACAGGAAGAGTTTGAGGTAATCAGTTCCTCAGCCTTGAGTCGATGTGATCAGTCCATCAGTCTTGAAAAGAATACAGCATATGTGCAAAACACTGGCTTCATCAGTCCATACAAAGGAGACTGGTGAAGATACTCAAATGTTGCACATGTGTCTAATTTATCAACTTGTCAGTTCTCTGAACCAGTCTTCACTAGCAGAATTATTGAGGCTACGGTATAAAGATCTCTCTCTACCAGCATTTCTGTTTTATACCCATGTTGTTTCTCACATTCTTATCTCTCAATTTATGACTTTAATCCAAGCATATTGTTCCTTTAGGCAAATTACTTTTTTGAATTAAGAACATTTATGCTTGTACTTTTCTTCATGGTATCCTACTAATGACCTAATCATTAAGACAGTTATCCTACTTATCACTGTTCACAAGTTTCTTAAAAAAAAAAAAAAAAACGAAAACACTTGTTCATTGTAATAGTTTCTTAAAAGATAACCACTCGTTGGTTTTAATAGCTTTTTTCAACACTTGTACTGTCTCTCACCGAGGCAGGATGACTCAAAAAAGAAAGAAACACTTTCACCATCATTCACACATAATGACTGTCTTTGCAGAGGTGCACAGATATGACAGTTTACATAGATGTCACTCCAAACAGCAAATATCCCATACCCCCCTTCCTTTAAAATGCAGGCATCATCATAATTATATTATACCATCTGTTTTGTAGTTTCCAGATTAATCTGTCGGGGGAAGTGCTGTCAAGCAGTTTTTTTTTTTTTTTTTACAAGTTCAAGAAAATTCCTCAGTTCATTTTTTTTTTTTTATGATTTCTGTAACTATTATAAAAAATTGTAAGGGTTATATACTGTACACAAGTTTTTGCTGAACTGAAACCAAGTTGTTTGAGCATTATCCTCTTTTGAACTCCAGATGTTGTACCCAGCATATTCGAATAGTTTTTAAATATTGTTTTGTCAGCTACATTGATCAGAAAGGCTCTTCTATAACCGAAATGATTCTCACTTTCACCTTTTTTTTTATTCCTTCATCATCCATCTCCCACCAGGGTAGGATGATTCCAAAAAGGAAATCCTTTAACCATCATTCATTCAATCACTGTCTTGCCAGAAGTGTGTTGATATCAAAATTAAGATAGCCCTCCTACTGCAGCATCCCTACCTCTCTTCCAGAGTGCAGGTGTACTACCTTTCCTGTCTCCATGACTCAAATCTGGTTAACTGGTTTCCCTGAATCAAATCTGGTTAAGTGGTTTTCCTGAATCCCTGCATAAATGTTACTCTGCTCACACTAAACAGCACATCCAGATTCTAAGACTATGCATCTCCTCAGTATGATCTAATATGCTCACACAAATCTGCTGGATGCTCCAGCCCCTGCCACTCAAATTCTCAAAACTCCTTCAAACCATTTCTGGGACAACCCTTTCCTTCCATCCCAAATTTAGACACCCTCTTTGTCATCCTATTCTGCTCCATCCTGTCTAGTTGCCCAAACAACTTTAACAACCCTCCTTGGCTCTCTGAATTATACTCTTGGTAACCCCACACCATCTAATTATTACACTCCAAATTCTTTGCATAATATAAAATTTATCATTGTCCACATGTCAGAAATTCTCCTTGGTATAACTTAGATGTATGCTCACACAGTCAGAAAATATTGTTAATTTATCTCTTTCTTTCTCTCTAGAATCCTCGGTTTCCAAAGAAAATATTTTTTGTGCCAGCTATGTGTGATACATTAGCTACATCTACCATGTATTTGGGACTCACACTTACATATGCCAGTTCATTTCAAATGTTAAGAGGTTAGTGTTTATTTCTTTTTTTTATATAGAAGTGAAAGAAATGGTCAATCACTGGAGAATTTTTTTTTTTTTTTTAAGTTAGCATGGCTTTGAATGATATACAGTTTGCTTTAATGTGAAGTGCTAAACTCATTTTGCCATTCAACTCGAGGACTGGTAGTAGCTCGATTCTTCCAGATAATCACAAGACCATTTCTGATTGACCTCACGGAATGTTGTACAAGATTTTCAGTACTAGATAATAATCAGGAGCAGCTGAAGTTTGTTTAGAAAACTCCCACATTAGACCTATTTTAAACTGCATGGTAGTTAGTCCCCTAGGTATTTCTCAGAATTTCTGTATAAGAGATGTTCTTGGGTTTTCAATGAATGTTTCAAATGTGACGGGTAATACAATGCTTAGGTTTGGTTTCAACCCCAATAGCAAGCAAAACTATGATGAGGAACAGTGTTGGTAATATTGCATGTAGGCTCCATCTAACCTAGCTGGAGGCTGTGTGTTAAATAACTTGTCTGACATTTTTTCAACTGGTTTCAAGAGTTCCTCGACCCCTGTTGCCTGACCATAGGCCAGACTTCCTTCTTGACTTTGTCAATTAGGTAGTAGTTCAGTTTCCTCTGGAAGACTCCTTTATTCCAAAGAGAGAAGCTTTTGCTTTTTTTTTTTTTTTTTTTTTTTAAAGGTCACCCTGCCTCGGTGGGATACGGCCAGTTCATTCAAAGAAAAAAAAATTCTGATTTTGTTTGCAACTGTAATGAAAAAATTAAAGTTAAGCAATATTAATCAGTATGTTTTATGTTTGTGATTAAAACAGAAATTATATTAATTTCTCTGGCATGTGAATTAGTCTTACTGAATTATTTTTCTTCATTATAGGTGCAGTTATTGTGTTCACCGGGCTTTTATCAGTAGCCTTCTTGGGACGTAAATTGAGATACTATCAGTGGATTGGAATTTGTGTTGTTATTGTTGGTCTGGTGATTGTGGGAATCTCAGACTTTGTGGGAGGTAGCGATACTGAGGGTTATACCCTTAATGGTATTATTACTGGTAAGTGAAATATATAAAAAAATACTTTATGTTTTTTACACGAATGAATTTAATTGCTGTCACCTAATTGCAGTTGCTTCCATTTTTTGTAATTTTGTACAGTGGACCCCCGAGTTTTAGCAGCCTCGACTTTCGCGAAATTCGACCTTCGGCGAGTTTTTTTTTTAAAAATTTGGCCTCGAGTTTCTTTAAAAAACTCGTGTTTCGGCGACCGTCTGGTACCCGTCCACCCATCACCGCGCACACAAAGCCAGTCTCCCACGCCATTCACACTCAGTGTGCCATCGTTTACCAACACGTGACCATCACCCCGCGGGTTCATACAATACATTTCATAATAATCCATTGTTTTTTGTGCTTGCAACTGCTAAATAAGTCATCATGGACCAAAGGAAAGCTAGTGCAAGCCCTTTGGTAAATAAAGTGAGTGACGGGGATGTGGAAGAGTTGGTGGAGGACCACAGGGAAGAGCTAACCACTGACGAACTGCAAGAGCTTCAACTGGAACAGCATCAGACCACAGCCGAGGAACTTGCTTCAGAGGAGGAGGAAGAGGGAGTGGATGAGGTGCCTTCTTCAGTGATTAAGGACATGTGTGGAATGTGGAATGAGTTGCAAAGTTTTGTTGAAAAGTATCACCCTGACCAAGCTGAAACAAGCCGTATCTGCAACATGTACAATGACAGTGTTGTGTCACACTTCAGGGAAATCTTAAAGAAACGCCAGAAAAAGACCTCTCTGGATAGATATTTTGTGTGCCAAGGGTCCAGTGACTCTCAAGTTGTTCCCAGTGGCATTAAACAAAGAAGGGAAGTAACCCCAGATAAGGACTTGCTACCTAAAGTCCTAATGGAAGGAGATTCTCCTTCCAAACAGTAGTGTACACCTTCCTCCTATCACCTCCTCCCATCTTCCATCCATCCAGAAGTCTTCAGTAAAGGTAAGTGTAATGTTGTTGTTCTTTATTTTAAATGCATGTACAGTGGTCCCTCGCTTTTCGTAGTTCTCGGGAATCATAGATTTCGGAAATCATAGGGATATTTTCATATAAACATGGGCTCGCTAATCATAGGTTGACTCGCGAATAGTAATTCGTCCGGGACGCGTACGCACGGTGTGAGCTGGGGCGGCCTCCCTACCCAGCCAGTCTGGCATTGTTTACCAGTGAGCAAAGGTCCCCTCACGTGCTCCTACGAAATATTTCATAATATTCCACTCATTTTAGTGCTTGCAATTGCAGTACTAAATAAGCTACCATGGCTCCAAAGAAAGCTCCTAGTGCCAAGCCTGTGGTAAAGAAGGTGAGAAATACACCAAAGCAATGTTTCACAGGTGCCTGACTGTGACCACAGACACTCACTTGACCCTAAGGGAATTTTGGAGAGAACACTTCAGCATCCTCCATTGCATAACCCTTATAGGTATGGCTTGGGAGGGAATGACTACCAGGACTTTGAACTCTCCTTGGAGAAAATTGTCACCAGATTGTGTCGACAAGAAGGATTTTGAAGGGTTTGGGACTGACCCTGATGAGCCTATATCTGTTGTTAAATCAATTGTGGCACTGGGGAGTTCCATGGGGTTGGATGTGAGTTTGGAGGATGTGGAAGAGTTGGTGGAAGACCACAACGAAGAGCTCACCACTGAGGAGCTGCAAGAGCTTCAGCAGGAACAGCAACAGATCGCAGCTCAGAATCTTGCTGCAGAGGAGGAAGAGAGATGGAAGAAGGTGCCTTCTTCAGAAATTAAAGACATTTTTGCTATGTGGGGTAAGATGGAAAGCTTTATGGAGAAACATCACCCTGACAAGGTTGTTGCAAGCCACGTTGGCAACATGTACAGTGACAAAGTCTTGGGCCATTTTAGGGAAGTGTTAAAGAGACGCCAGAAACAGAGCTCTCTCCACAGTTATTTTGCGAGACAGGACTCCAGTGACTCTCAAGGTGGTCCTAGTGGCATTAAGAAACAGAGAAGAGAAGCAACCCCAGAAAAGCAATTGGTACCTGAGGTGTTGCTGGAAGGGGATTCCCCTTCCAAACTGTAAACAATCCAATCTCTCCTCCTCCTCCAGTCTCCCATACACTAAGAAGAATCTCCAATAAAGGTAAGTGTTATGCTGTTAATGTTTCATTCATCATTTCCCATTGTATTGTTTATGTACTACATCTATATTTCATGTAAAAAATTTTTTTGTTTTATTACTTCTGGGTGTCAGGAACGGATTAATTGTATTTACATTATTTCTTATGGGGAAAATTGATTCGCAAATAGTAGATTTCGATAATAGTAGCAACTCCAGGAACGGATTAACTACGAAAAATGAGGGACCACTGTACTTGATTTCTGATTGTTTTCATTATGTAAATCTTTATTTAATTTGAAAAAAAATATTTTATTTTAATATTTTGGGTGTCTGGAACAGATTAATTTTATTTCCATTATTTCTCATGGGGAAAATGGTTTAGAGTTTCGTGAATTTCGACCTTCAGCGGGCTCTCTGGAACGGATTAATCACGAAACTCGGGGGTCCACTGTACTATTTTTTTTTTTTTTTACTGTTGAATTTATCTTGCATGATTTTGTTTCCAAGCCAGCCCTATCTGTGGTATACTAGTAGCCCTAGGATGCCACCTGCAAGTTGGCTAACCCCTGAGTATCTTGTTGCTGCAAAGTGAATAGGCACCAGGAATAAGGAAACTTTCCTAGCCTCTACCTACCCGGGATATAACCTGGGTCCTTCAGTTATAAGCCAAGAACCCTACCACTGAGTTACAAGCCACATTATGTTGGTTAGGGACCATCTTGCTATTGAAATTGGCTTGCCTGGCAACAGAGCACACCATACTGATGAACATGCATCTGATAATTGAGTATTTGCTGTATATTAGATTTCTCTTACATTGTGAAGATAAAATCATTTCAATTTATTGCACACTTGTAAGCCTTAGGAACCTTCTCTAAACTTATTTTAGTTAAACATAATGCAGCATGCCTTAGATTGTACAATGCTGATAAATACATCAAGCCCTCAGTATAACAGACCTCAGAATACAGTACCAAAATCCTTAAGTAAATTATACTTATAATTGATTTTCAGTGTTTATTGCAGTAGATCTGTAAACTGTGCACACTGCTGTATTGGGTATAAAGTACTGCTTTTTCTGCTATTTTTTTAACGTTGTGACTTAGCAAACACTCAGAGAATTCCCCATTAGTTCATTATATCAAGAGTTACTGTATTCCTTAGTATTTTTCACCTTGATAATTTTCATTGTTATTTAAGGAGAGCTCTTCATCCATTAGGATACTTCTTGTCAGTACATTATATTTATTAACTCCTCCGTGTTCCAGGGGACCTGCTGATCATCGCTGCTCAGGTTATAACAGCCACACAGATGGTAGTAGAGGAAAAGTTTGTGACAAAGCACAATGTCCCTCCATTGTTGGCTGTAGGCTGGGAAGGTAAGGAGAAAGTTACCTTTGCCTTGTATGAGAAATATATAAGAAAAATTTTGGAGAAATGGCCATGGAACTCATTCCTTTTTTTTTTTTTATAAACAGTTTTTCTCTGCCCTGTATCTTCTGATATTCTGCTGCAGTAAAGCCATTATCAAAAAAGTGAGACATTGGCAACAGAAAGCAGGTGGTGGCTATAGGCTAGGGTGGCCACTTAAGTTGATGTGTGATGGCAATGGCAAGGTAGAAAAGAAGTGATGTGTGGGTAGTCCTAAGAGAAAGATGTTTGTTAGCAGGTGTAGGGGGTTGAGGGTGAGAATGTGTGAAGGTAAAGGAGGCAGGTCAATGTCCATCACAGGTCATATAAAACTATATGGCATCAAGAGTTTCTGAAGACAAGTAACAAGAAGTGTGTTGCAAGAGGCAGAAGAGGTGGATGTAGGAGAGGGCAGACACAAATAACAAAAAAAAAGCACAATACCGTGACTGGAACGATACACAAATAACCCGCACATAGAAGAGAGGAGCTTACGACGATGTTTCGGTCCGACTTGGACCATTTACAAAGTCACACTAACCAGAAGTGGAGCAGGACAGCTATATATAGGCAGGAAGAGGTAGTGGTGGTAGTAGTAATAATAGTAGTAGTGGTAGTAGTAGTAGTGGTAGTAGTAGTAGTAGTAGTGGTGGTGGTGGTAGTAGTGGGGAACTAAGGAGGAGGAGCCAGTCAAATATAAAGAAAGGGGAGCACTGCAAGGGAGCTAGGTGCCCATAGAGGGAGAGCAAGTGCATAGAAGTGGGGAGAAGGGGAAGGGGAAGTGATGAAATAAATAATGAAGGAATAGAAACACGCAACAGAAGAAAGACAAAAAAAAAAAAGGAAAGAGGAAAGGGGAAGAGGGAGAAGAAGAAAAAATGAGGAATCAGGTTAAGTCACGAGTGTTCTGAAGTTTGGAGCATTTTACAATGTAGTGGGAGAGGAAGGCATCTACAGAGACAAAGCCAGGACTAAGATTCATACAAGGAAAGTTGTGTATTAGAGAGGATTCAACAAGACGGTGACTGTTGAAGTTGGAAGTAGGGAAGACAGTTTTAGCAGAAGACCAGTCTATAGGATGGCTGTGATCTCTTACGTGACAGAAAAGAGCATTGTTAGTGTCGGCAAGCCTAACACTATTTTTGTGCTCCCTAAGTCTGTCAGAAAGAGATCGGCCAGTTTCTCCAAAGTATTGAAGAGGACAGGAGGAGCAAGAAATAGAGTAGACACCAGGAACATCTGTAGAGGGAGGAGAGGTATGAACGAGATTAGTGCGAATAGCAGCTGTTAAAATTGAAGCAGGGAGAAGATAGTGGTATCCTGGGAGGAAGGAATCTAGGTAGGGACGGGGAGTGGTAGCAGTAAGTGTGGGTGGATGGATGGATGTCTACAACTGTCACAGATGCAGGAGGCAAGGGGAAAAAGACCCTCAGTGTGGCACGTATTGCTAATGTTGCATGGACACTGCTACCCACCCTTCTCAGTATATCGTTAAACCAGTACCACTGGGATGGCACCTTGTGCATTAACTGAGCAAGGCTTGGCCAACAAAAGAGGTGAGTGACTGGAAATACACCATAGCCATACCTCTTTTGGCTACCACCTCCCAGAACTGACAAGCAGCCTCCAAGAATACTCCCATCTAAGGATGTTCAAGGCCACCCACCAGGACCCCAGCACATCACAACACGCTAATTACCACAGCAGACAGCACTACCATTCAGATCCTAAACAGAATGCGATGGATAACAATCCCTGCTTACTCTATCTAGCCACTGGAATTTACAAAGGAGAAATAACACCAAATGGAGAGAGGGGATGGGGGGTATTTAGATTTGATTTACTAAAGCTAAATGATTGAAAGTGTACATTCGTGGACAGAAGTTCTCATATATTTTGCGAGGCTTATCACGGGTACCGCTGGTGTAACCATTATTGAAGCTTCTGGAATTAACGCTTTTTTTTTTTTTTTTTTTTTTTTTATTTCAACAAGTCGGCTGTCTCCCACCGAGGCAGGGTGACCCAAAAAAGAAAGAAAATCCCCAAAAAGAAAATACTTTCATCATCATTCAACACTTTCACCACACTCACACATTATCACTGCTTTTGCAGAGGTGCTCAGAATACAACAGCTTAGAAGCATATACGTATGAAGATACACAACATATCCCTCCAAACTGCCAATATCCCAAACCCCTCCTTTAAAGTGCAGGCATTGTACTTCCCATTTCCAGGACTCAAGTCCGACTATATGAAAATAACCGGTTTCCCTGAATCCCTTCACTAAATATTACCCTGCTCACACTCCAACAGATCGTCAGATCCCAAGTATCATTTGTCTCCATTCACTCCTATCTAACACGCTCATGCACGCTTGCCCACAAAACCTCCTTTACCCCCTCTTTCCAACCCTTTTGAGGACGACCCCTACCCCTCCTTCCTTCCCCTATAGATTTATATGCTTTCCATGTCATTCTACTTTGAACCATTCTCTCTAAATGACCAAACCACCTCAACAACCCCTCTTCTGCCCTCTGACTAATGCTTTTATTAACTCCACACCTTCTCCTAATTTCCACACTCCGAATTTTCTGCATAATATTTACACCACACATTGCCCTTAGACAGGACATCTCCACTGCCTCCAACCGTCTCCTCGCTGCTGCATTTACCACCCAAGCTTCACATCCATATAAGAGTGTTGGTACTACTATACTTTCATACATTCCCTTCTTTGCCTCCATAGATAACGTTTTTTGACTCCACATATACCTCAACGCACCACTCCCTTTTTTTCCCTCATCAATTCTATGATTAACCTCATCCTTCATAAACCCATCCGCTGACACGTCAACTCCCAAGTATCTGAAAACATTCACTTCTTCCATACTCCTCTCCCCAATTTGATATCCAATTTTTCTTTATCTAAATCATTTGATACCCTCATCACCTTACTCTTTTCTATGTTCACTTTCAACTTTCTACCTTTACACACATTCTCAAATTCATCCACTAACCTTTGCAATTTTTCTTTAGAATCTCCCATAAGCACAGTATCATCAGCAAAAAGTAACTGTGTCAGTTCCCATTTTGAATTTGATTCCCCATAATTAATCCCACCCCTCTCCCGAACACCCTAGCATTTACTTCTTTACAACCCCATCTATAAATATATTAAACAACCATGGGTGACATTACACATCCCTGTCTAAGACCTACTTTTACTGGAAGTATTCTCCCTCTCTTCTACATACCCTAACCTGAGCCTCACTATCCTCATAAAAGCTCTTTACAGCATTTAGTAACTTACCACCTATTCCATATACTTGCAACATCTGCCACATTGCTCCCCTATCCACTCTATCATATGCCTTTTCTAAATCCATAAATGCAATAAAAACTTCCCTACCTTTATCTAAATACTGTTCACATATATGCTTCAATGTAAACATTTGATCTACACATCCCCTACCCACTCTGAAGCCTCCTGCTCATCCGCAATCCTACATTCTGTCTTACCTCTAATTCTTTCAGTTATAACCCTACCGTATACTTTTCCTGGTATACTCAGTAAACTTATTCCTCTATAATTTTTACAATCTCTTTTGTCCCCTTTCCCTTTATATAAAGGGACTATACATGCTCTCCGCCAATCCCTAGGTACCTTCCCCTCTTTCATACATTTATTAAACAAAAGCACCAACCACTCCAACACTATATCCCCCCCTGCTTTTAACATTTCTGTCATGGTATCAGTTTTAAATGTATTGTACTATACATGTTAGAATTGTACATACCAAAGAGCTGGGAATGAATGAATTGCTTCCTATTTTCCAGGTGCTGTATGATACCCATGGGTTTAGCACTTTCCCTTGAATGTATAATAATAATAATAATAAATTATTATTATTATTATTATTATGTTTAACAGCCAAGACACTGCATATATTAATTCCAGGTGTCTTCGGCTTCATTGTCATGACTATCCTGCTGGTGCCTTTTAACTGGATTCCGGCTGGTATATTCAGCTCCAATCCTCGCGGTGTGCTGGAGGACATTCCTGATGCATTCATTCAGTTGAAGAACAATCCTGCTCTGATTGGACCAATAATAGGTAAGATGATGACAGTTCCTTAAGTGGAATTACCAAGTGGTAGGGAATGGGGTAATAATGGAAAAGTGAATTTGAAGAGTTCTGTTTAATTCTTTTCCTCTGGGTAGTAACTCGAGCATTGCCAACCAATTTAACCTTGCCCCATTATAAGAACAAAATAATTTTAGGATTAAAAATAATTATTTTTATTTGCAAGACTAAGAATTACTAAAGATCTTTTGTTATGGGTGGGAAGGCAAATTGCATTCTAAATGAGGTGTGAGGATATTGCAATATGGAGGGCCATCTGAACTGTGATGTCAGCACATTTCTAGCAAGTGAATGAATGATGGTAAAAGTGTTTTCTTCTTTCGTGGGTCACTCTACCTTGGTAGGAGATGACTAATGTGAAAAAAAAGGTAGAGAAATGTGTGGAGTGTATAGGATGGAGAGCTGACATATATTTGAATAGCTAGTCAAGGAATATTTCATTTTGGTTTTAGCATGTAGAGATGATGATCCATGAATAACAAAAAAAGGGCACACTACCGTGACTGGAACGATACACAAATAACCCGCACATAAAAGAGAGAAGCTTATGACGACATTTCGGTCCGACTTGGACCATTGACAAAGTCACACTAACCAGAGGGGGAGCAGGACGGCTATATATAGGCAGGAAGAGGTGGTGGTAGTAGTAGTAGTAGTAGTACAGGAATTGTATATAATACCGACAAGATGAAATTAAGACACATGCACAACACCCGGGCATCCCCATCGTAGACGCTTCGCCATCCAGCCAGCCACTGGATGGCGAAACGTCCACAACAAAGACAACCAGACGCCGCACATGTGTCTTAATTTCATCAGTAGTTGTAGTAGTAGTAGTAGTAGTAGAAGAAGAAGAGGTAGTAGTAGTGGTAGAAGTGGGAAATAAGGAAGACGAGCCAGTCAAATACAAAGGAAGGAGAGCACTGCAAGAGAGCTAGATGCCCACAGAGGGAGAGCAAGCGCACAGAGGTGCGTGAAAGGGGAAGTGGTGAAATAAATGAAAAAGGAACAGAAACACGAGACAGGAGAGAGAAAGTTAACAGAGGAGAAAAGGAAAGAGGAAAGGGGAAGAGGAAGAAGAAAAAAGAAAAAAGAAAAAAAAAAAAAATGAGGATTCAGGTTAAGTCAATCTCGCTTCCGTAATCTTCCTGACTTGTCCACTTTTCGTGGTGCTCTCCTTCCAGCTCTTGTTAGTCTGTTTTCTAAGAATCACCACCTTCCACGCCGTTACCAACTTGCCCTTTCTTCTCTTAAATCCAACACTAACATTGTCATACTATCTTCTGACAAAGGTAATTCGGTAGTTATCCTTGATCGCGAGGATTACCTCCGTAAAGCTGATGTCTTGCTCTCTGACTCACGCACTTACACTCCTCTCGTTTCCAACCCTCTTGATCGCATCAAGAGAACTTTCAACAAAAAACTAAGGACTCTCTCCGACCTCTGTCCTCCTGACTTTGACCTTGTTCAATGGTTTCGTGTCATCTGTCCCTCTCTTCCCTATTTCTATGGCCTTCCCAAAACTCATAAACCTGATATTCCTCTTCGTCCTATCATATCCTCTAGAGGTTCTGTCTCTTATTCTCTTGCTTCTTGGCTGGCCAAAACCCTCACTCCCTTTCTTGGTACTTTTTCTCCTGCCCACCTCCGTCACTCTCAAGACTTCATTGAACGGGTTCACTCTCTCCCAACCTGTAAGATGCTTAGTCTTGACGTTGAGTCCCTCTTCACCAATGTCCCTCTTGATGATATCCTTGATTTCCTTAGAGAGAAGGCCCATGAAGGCTTTCTTCATCTCCCTATCCCCACTGATGTCTTTCTTGATCTGATCCGCCTCTGTGTGGACTCTAACTCCTTTTCCTTCCAAGGGAAATATTATTCTCAAACCTTCGGTGTCGCTATGGGCTCTTCTCTCTCTCCTGTCCTTGCTAATCTTTACATGGAATACTTCGAGACTGTTCTTCTTCCTACCCTCGATGTGCAACCTTCACTCTGGCTCCGCTATGTGGATGACATCTTTGCTCTGTGGCCTCATGACTCCAGTCTCTTCCAACCTTTTCTTGAAGCTCTTAATAATCTTGCCCCTTCCATTAAGTTTAAAGCTGAATGGGAATCTAATTCCTTGCTTCCTTTCCTTGATGTCCATGTCCACCGCTCAGTTACAGGTTTTTCCTTTTCCGTTTACCGTAAACCTATGCACAGTGGCATGTACATTCACTACTTTTCCTATCATGCTTCCCCTGTCAAGAAAAGTGTTCTTATCTCCCTCTTTCTCCGTGCCCTCCTCATCTGTGATCCTCAGTTCCTTCCAGCAGAAATTTCCACTCTTCATAATTCGTTCTCCCGTCTTGGCTACCCTTCCATTTCATAGACTCTGCCTCTCACGTGCTAAACGCAATTTCTTCTCTCCCAAACTCTCTACCCATGGGAAACTCTTCTATCCTCTGCCTTCCCTACATTTCCGGTTCTTTCTAATCTCAACAATTCTCTCCGTCCCTTAGACATCAAGCTTACCTTCCGCCAGACTAACACTCTTCGCACTAATCTCGTTCATACCTCTCCTCCCTCTACAGATGTTCCTGGTGTCTACTCTATTTCTTGCTCCTCCTGTCCTCTTCAATACTTCGGAGAAACTGGTCGATCTCTTTCTGACAGACTTAGGGAGCACAAAAATAGTGTTAGGCTTGCCGACACTAACAATGCTCTTTTCTGTCACGTCAGAGATCATAGCCATCCTATTGACTGGTCTTCTGCTAAAACTGTCTTCCCTACTTCCAACTCGAACAGTCGCCGTCTAGTTGAATCCTCTCTAATACACAACTTTCCTTGTATGAACCTTAGCCCTGGCTTCGTCTCTGTAGATGCCTTCCTCTCCCACTACATTGTAAAATGCTCCAAACTTCAGAACACCCGTGACTTAACCTGAATCCTCATTTTTTTTTTTTCTTTTTTTTTCTTTTTTCTTTTTTCTTCTTCTTCCTCTTCCCCTTTCCTCTTTCCTTTTCTCCTCTGTTGTCTTTCTTTCTCCTGTCTCATGTTTCTGTTCCTTCTTCATTTATTTCACCACTTCCCTTTCACGCACCTCTGTGCGCTTGCTTTCCCTCTGTGGGCATCTAGCTCTCTTGCAGTGCTCTCCTTCCTTTGTATTTGACTGGCTCGTCTTCCTTATTCCCCACTTCTACCACTACCACTACTACTACCTCTTCTTCTTCTACTACTACTACTACAAACTACTGATGAAATTAAGACACATGTGCGGCGTCTGGTTGTCTTTGTTGTGGACGTTTCGCCATCCAGTGGCTGGCTGGATGGCGAAGCGTCTACGATGGGGATGCCTGGGTGTTGTGCATGTGTCTTAATTTCATCTTGTCGGTATTATATACAATTCCTGTACTACTACTACTACCACCACCTCTTCCTGCCTATATATAGCCATCCTGCTCCCCCTCTGGTTAGTGTGACTTTGTCAATGGTCCAAGTCGGACCGAAACGTCGTCGTAAGCTTCTCTCTTTTATGTGCGGGTTATTTGTGTATGATCCATGAATTACTAAGAAAATGTGTATGCTTAAAGTAACTAGGGTTAGTGTGTTAGGCAAGTAGCTGAGGGGCCACCCTTTCAAAGGGTGCTACTACTGTTTCCAATATCTGAAAATCCTCATTATTTGACTGAAATTATCATGTCTCTGCCATGGTGTTAGATGCAATACTGAACTTACCTCTCATATCTTTTGTGGGTAACAGTTTATTTCTGAGAGTGACTAGGTTGCATCTGATCCCAGAAATTGTGAGAGTCTAAAATTGCAGATTCTGAAAATTGAGTGCTACTATATTTGTGTATTGTTTAGTTGAATTCTACTGTATGTTGCCAGTTTAAGGGGTAAAGTACACTGGCATCAAAAATCATTTATACTATGTATCATTTTCATTAGATTTTGACAATGTTTTTTTGTTTTCAAGAGCATTAACCAGAGAATTATACTTTTGACAACAATAAAACAGGAAGATTATTTTTCTTGTTTAGAAATTGGTGGGACAGACTTTGGAAAAGCTTGTTGTATAAGCTCTAGTCCTCTTGACTTTCAATGTTGCAAGTGGTCTGGCATAAGAAACTTCCACAAGTTTTTTTTACCATTTTTATTTTTATGGGTGGATAATGGCATGAGAAACCAATATGATGGCAAGGACACATGTGCAGCTATGTAGAATACTTTATCGATGACTTTTTTGCTCAGACTATGGACTTTTGACAATGCCCATTTTGTCGACAAAACATTGTCAGTATAGGATTATATAATGCATTCATGTTTATCATTTTAATTTTCATGTGTGAAATAAATATTTCATGAGATTGGTATTCCTTTACAGGTAATATTATCAGTATAGCCTTCTTTAACTTCGCTGGTGTCAGTGTCACCAAGGAACTGTCTGCTACCACCCGTATGGTGCTCGACTCGGTACGCACACTGGTCATATGGGTGGTCTCTCTCATTGTTAAATGGCAAAAGTTCCAGTACCTCCAGGTAACATTTTTGTGTTGTGTTAACCTTGTTTATTTTCTGTGTTCATTTGTAATAGTGCTATACAGTGCTATGTTCACTTCATATTTTCTGTGTTCATTTATAAAGGTGTTATATTCATCTTATTTATTCTTTAATGTAACTTTTTATTATGTTTTACTGTTACTTTACATATATACACTGGTGACAGCAGTGTTTCACACCTCTGCTTTAACTCTTCAAGCTACCATGTAGGTTAACAACTAGGTTCTAGTCAGCATAATTTGTGCAATGTGACATGTTTTCTAATTTGATGGCCTTGATATTATGTTCCTCAGAGTAATTAGTTTATTGAGCAAGAAAGGCAAGGTCCTTAGTCGAGTGGTAATTGAGGGAATAAATATACAAAAAAGTAAGGGACATGATTTTTTGGTTTATATACAGTGGACCCCCGACATTTGATATTAATCCGTTCCTGAGAGCTCATCGAATGTCGAAAATATCGAAAGTCGAATTAATTTTCCCCATGAGAAATAATGGAAATCAAATTAATCCGTGCAAAACACCCAAAAGTATGAAAAAAATTTTTTTTACCACATGAAATATTAAGTTTAATGCAATAGAATAATTACAATAACAATAGATTACCTCTTCAAGGGGGGCTCCTTGTCGTGGTAAAGAGGCTTTTGGTCTGAGGAATTAGACCTGTCGGTCTCCTTCCTCAGACCGAACCTAATTACCCCCCAATCCCCCCTTCCCTATCCCATCCTCCCCTTTTTCCTTTCCTCCTCGTCCTCCTCCCCACCCCTCCCTTTTGCCCTTTCTCTTTTTGACCTTTGGGATTTTTCCCCCCACTCTGTGCTAGTTCCTAGGTAGGGGAAAGGGTACCGGGGTCCATCCCATTCCGTTGAGGTTCTTGGCGGTGGTGTAGTTTGCCGTGGAATCTGGATCGCCTGGGGATGTCCCACTCCCTCTCCGGTATCCCTGAGGGTGGCTTTAGGTGTCTTTTGGGCGATGGGTGTATCTCTGGAAGCCACCTTTCGGATTCCGAGGGTGGTGGCCGAAGGAGGTATGCTTTGTGGCGGATATCCGGCCGCCCTCTCTTTTTTCCACCGAGGTAGCTCAGCATATGTGAGGTTGCTATCCCAGATTGCTGGTTTACTGGCATGAAGGGTAGGGTATGGCACAGGTTCCATGCTGCATCTGCGCTACTTGCGGTGCTGAGGTCCTCTTTGGGGACGGAGGGAGATTTTTTGGCCCTTTCATTCCTCCTAGGAACTATCCCTCCCCGGTCCCCCCTTTTTTTTATTCTTTTTTTTCTTTTCTTCTTTCTTTTTTTTTCTTAAAAACAAAAAGAAAGAAGTAACCTAACCATGGAGTACCCGATCCATGACCCCACTACCCCCGGGCCCCTTATTGTTACCGCACCCCGTTCTGACCTCGCCTCATCTTTTGGCCACTCTTCAGACATTCCTAAGGCCCCTGTACCTCTTGCTGGTGCTGTTTCGTCACCCGCTTCAGGTGCCGGGGTTTCAACTGACTCCTTCGATTTGTTTGACCTCCGCTCTCCTTTGACCATGCTTCCGGCCTCTCCCTCTATGGTGCAGCGATTTTTCGAATCTCCAACCCATCTCACATCAGACCGACTCTGGTCCCACTTCTAAACGCCAACGACAATCTCCTGACGACGTTACTTCGTTACCTTCCCATTCTACTTAGAAAAGACCGACACATCATGCACTCCCTCTCCACACTCAGTTTCGGACCACACAATGGACTAAATTCTTTACGACCGACTTCTACTGCCTATCTTTCCGGCCAAAGTATTGGCAAAGCACTCCTATGCCATGTTGGGGGCAGTTCAGGCCACACGTGGACACGTCTCGTACGAATCGTATCGAATAGTGGGTTTTCGATTGAATGTCAAGGCGCAATTTTTGCGTTAAAATGCATCGAATGTCAGATTTATCAAATGTCGATGCCATCGAATGTCGGGGGTCCACTATATTAATTCACCCTGGAGAAGATAGTTTAAACAATAATAGAAGAAGTATAAGGTATGTATAATTTTTATGGGTTTTAAAAGCCTACGATAGATCCAAGAATGGGAGATGGACTTTACATAGCAATTATTGTATTTTGAGTTTTATTCAGTGGTTAGGTGTAAATGTGTAGGGGTCATGTGCCTGGAGATTGTGGCAAGTTTATTGGGTGCTTTCTGAAATGGTTCTAATAATTTTTTCTTTCACTCTTCCTGTGGTAATGCTGGATTTCACTCGCTAATCTTGTGTGTCTTTGCAGCCAATTGGTTTTGCTGTGCTAGTTATTGGCATGATGCTGTACAATGATGTTGTAATATTACCATTCCTGAGGAGCAGAGGATGTATCAGAGATGACTTACCTGAAGATACTGAGCCAGTTATTGCATCAAGTTCATCAGGAAGGTGAGTAGTGTTCTAACATAGACTTGTGAAAATCTTTTAACACTTAGTGTTATTTGTATGTGGATCAATGTCATTGAGCCAGGTGTCGCTTGCGTAGACCTACATTGTAATCGTAGCATCATCAAATATTCTGAGACCTGTAAATTTCGTCTTATACATGAGATAATGGGTCTGATGGGTGTGCACAGTATAAAAAAAAAAATCATACTCCACACAGTGCATGATGGAAACAGGTAACTTCTGACTGTTTTAAGGTTAATCTAATGACTTGAGGCATTTTCTTGGGGTAATTTTATTGGCTGCTGTTTCTTATTGCCAGTTGATAGACTGGAAGACATACTAGTGCAGTGGACAATTTCAAACTAGAAGTGGCCTGATATTCCTCAAGGTGCATACACTCTCACTCTTTCATTTTTCAACATTGGATGTTTTCCACTGGGGTAGGGTGACCTGGAAAAAAGAAACATTTTCACCATCATTCATGCTCTTGCCATATTACCCAATGTTGAAGCTGAGATGTCCCTCCATACTACCATATCCCCATTCTGAAGAAAGAGTGCAGGTATTTTAATTCCCACCTCATAACTCTGGCTAGCTGGTTTCTCTGAATCCCTCGAACAGCACGTCAAATCATAAAAGCCACTTGCCTCCACTCTTATCTGAAATGCTCACAATGATAAAAATGCCTAATGCCTATGAAGATCATAATCCAAAACTGGCTAGACTTTTTCTGGTCATGCATTATGCTGTAGAATCATTATTATTATTATTATAATCAAAAAGAAGCGCTAAGCCACAAGGACTATACAGCGCTGCAGGGCAGGAAGGAAGCGAGGGCATCAGGTAGCAAAAGGGAGATGGATGAGTAATAGGTTACGGATAACAGCGGGGTAGTGGATGGTGAAAGGGTAAAGGGCAGCAAGAGACTGAACTAGAAAGGGCTGAGGGGAGTGCGAAAAGTATCATCAGAGTTTGTGGAGTAAATCAGTCGTTGTCAAGAAGTCAATGAGAGAGTCAGGATTAAAGGAGGGTCCATCAGCAAGAAGGGAAGGTAAAGAGAGAGTAGTAGAACGAAGACGACGTTGGAGGTAAATTCTGCGTGCTCGTTGATAGAGAGGGCAGTCTAACAGAATGTGGCTAATCGATACTGGAACTTGACACTGCTCACAGAGAGGAACAGGGTGCCTCTCCATGAGATACCCATGAGTAAGACGAGTGTGGCCAATGCGAAGGCGGGAGAGAGTGGTCTCCCAACCTCGGCACTGATGACAAGAAGACGGCCAGTAACCTATGCTCGGTTTAATAGAATGAAGTTTGTTACCGAGCAGAGTTGACCAACGTTGTTGCCAACGGGTGCGAAGGTGGGTAGCTATTGCAGCAAAATAGTCCAGAAATGGAACACCTCGATAGGAAATTGGTAGGTCATATACTGCTGACCGCGCAGCAGTGTCTGCCTGTTCATTGCCCTGTACGTCGACATGACCAGGGACCCAACAAAAAACAATATCTTTATGTTTGGTAGAGATACGGCGTAGCCAAAGTTGGATACGGAGAACTAGGGGATGAGATGTATCAAATTTTCGTATAGCCTGTAGAACACTAAGGGAGTCTGAGACTACTACAAATGATGACACAGGCATAGATGCGATACGAATAAGTGCTGCAAGAATGGCATACAGTTCAGCAGTAAAAATGCTAGCTGAAGATAGTAAATGCCCTCGTACGACGCTGTCCGGAAACACTGCTGCGAATCCGACGCCGTCTGAAGACTTAGAGCCATCTGTGTACACAGCGGTGGCATGAGAATGGGAGTGGAAGTGATCAAGAAAAAGAGAGCGGGAAGCCACCGTAGGCAGTTGAGCTTTCGAGCAAGGGAGTGAGAAAGAACAGACCCGAACAGCTGGAACTTCCCAGGGGGGTAGGGAAAAGTGAGATGCTACATGAACATATAAAGGTGGTAACTGAAGGGAAGACAAGAGTGAATGTAGGCAAAGAGAAAAGGGACGGACAAACAGGGGCGGCGAACGAATAAAGAATGTCTACTAATATCGGTGGGCCATTC